ATCAAAGTTTGAATTGAGGCTAGAACAGCGATGTGCAGGAATTTACAATAATAAGCCATGGTGTATGTCTGTGTGTGGATTCCAAATGTGAATTCATTTTCAGAAGACAGTACCTTTACAGTGAGAAGCTGCGAGGACGCTCCATCATGTTATATGTAAACCCTATGCAGAAATTATGGGGCTAATGGATACTGTCCAAGAAAGGGAGAAAGCAGAAGCACTCCCATCAGCCTCGGTCTGTGCTTCAGATCACTTAAATCCTCTCTCGACACACAAATACCTCCTTCAAAAGGGAAATCTCCTATTTTCCATTTTCAATTTTTATATTGTCACATTTGCTAATGACTGTATGAGTGTCTTGAGCTTACCTGAAAGCTGCCACTGTTCTGTGTCTGAGGTGCAAGGGGAATTATTTAATGGTGGGTTCATTTCTGTGTTGTAAGAAGAAGTCTGTGATTTTTATGAAGCTTTAAGAGTCCACTGTTTGTTTTCTGGTTGTATCAGTCCTGCTGAATTAGGATTTGTGTTCTGCAAGATATTTCTGTGGACAGTGATGGGGGATAATAAATGTTGACATGTTTGCTGTTTCTGGAAGAAATGCTCTAGTTGAAGGTTATAGAAGTTATTTCTAGACCTTGATCTACAAATACTTGTTTAATTTGAATAATTCCATGAATTTGGCTGATACTTTTCAGAGACTATGAAGTATAAGCTGAAAAGCTTTGCTGGACTGCAGTCTTCGAGCAAAGTATCACTGCTTCCTTTAGTCAGCCAAATCCACAGCTTTCACATGGATCTGTTTAACTGCCTGTGCAGCAGTGAACATCCTTGAGCTTTGAGATTTCTCCAGTGTTACAGTATTCAGGTCTTTTCCTGCTTATAATTCTCTAAGATGATCCTTCTATATTTCTTCTTGCTGAAGAAAAATTGAATTTTGATAAAATGTTGTTTATGACAAGGACAAGTTGGTTGATGAGGGCTTTTCTGCATTTAATGCTGTAATCTAAGTTACTTGTTCTGTCTACCAGTTCAGTGTGTTGTATACCGTCTCAGCTATTGTCCCCTCACATTCACACCCTCATCATCCTCTGCTCCCTCTCAGTAAAGAGGATTTTTTTCTTTTTGCTCATCCCTAGTGAATTTGATAAGGAATTTGGCAAAGCATCTGTAGCCTCAGTGGTTCAAGAGTTTAGTTGACTGAGGGACAGGATTGAAAAGGTAGCAGTTCCTAATTGACTTCAAGGCTTAGTGAGAGCAAAGATCTCTTGACGTTATTGGTGACTGATCCACAGCCATTTAATTCAATGGTATGTGCTGTAACCAAGATACCTTTAAGGAAACCCAGGGTTTGTTTCTGTGGTTTAAAGAGAGCATTTCTAGACAGGGCTTCAGTTGTGCTCATCACCTGAATCAGGACTTGATGATCACTGTATTCCTGTCATTAGCTCACAGGCAGCAACATTTGGGCTGTCCTCACTGGCCCTTCACCCACCCTTCCCTGCTCAGCCCAACTTTTTGTCTAAGCCTCCTCCAAAGGGTCTAGGTATCTCAATGTGCCCTCGTTCCCATTTATGTGCTCTCTTATTGCCTCAGCCTCACGTGCTGAATGAGGAGCAGGGAGAAGGGAAAAGCAGTGGTTGCTCCTGCTGATTGTAGTAAGAGTTTGCCCAAGAAAGGCAGAGTAAATATTTCCACTGATAAGTTGGTTTTGCAATCTCATCTTCATACTGTCTATATTAAGATCTAAACATTTGAGTCCCGTGTTCAAATGATTTCTCCCTCTCTCTATTACAATCACTGTTTTATCATCCCTCAAATTCATGATTAACTGCAGAAAAGAAATAAATAAAAGCAGTTTCACTGATGTACCAGACACCTAACACTGCCTTGGGCCTCTTCTCTCAAGGGCTTTCCAGACCATCCGGCTTAACATGGAACACCCTTTATTTTGGGTTTAAAAGCTTCGTGGCAGCTCCAGACTGAACCGTAGGTCTTGTCCTTGCAATGAGGTAACTGCTGGTTATTGAGCATTTGATGCAGGAACATGAACAAAGAAAAGAACGTGGACACAGTCTTTAATCTTCAAGAGTGGATAGGGAAGGAATAAGAGAGCAGGACATATACCGACTTGGCAGTGTTCTTATGTTTGTGGGTTTGGTTTTTAGTTGTTTGTTGTTTGTTTGTTTGTTTTTAATCTGTGATTATTGTTCAGACAGACATAGAAATTGCAGCAGTAAACAGACTTTGGGTGGGTGTTGATTTCCTGAATCAAGACTAAATTCAGGATTCATACACAGAGAGTCTCTCTTGCAGTCTGGAAGCTGTGGGGGGCTGCCCAGCTTGTGTTGGGCACACAGCCCATCGGCACCGGGGAGCTGCAGTGGGAAGTACCACAGCCAACCACTGCCATCCTCTTCCGGCACAACCTGATTGCACTGTGAAGCCATCCTGGCAGAGACCATGTCTTCTCCATTAGCACCATGGCTACCATGACATGGCTTTTTGGAAGCACTGTGGGCACTACTGCAGTGTCCCCAGCTGTATATGACAATAAGTAATATTAATTACTCATGCTTTCTCCAGTAAAAGACAGAGGCAGTGCTGGGGGCATCCTTGTGCCTGCCCTGACATGGGCTGTGTTGGACTGTGGAGTCTTTCTGAAGAAACTTTCTCTGAGCATTGAGCCTTGCTGTAGCAAAGGCCCAAGTTAAGTGTCACAAACATGACCTCACTGAAGAGCTATTAGGTATTTAAAGGCATTAAGCAAATAGATAAGTATTGGAATTACTGCCCAGGCTCTTCTTGATGTATGACTCTTCTTCACCATGTATGACTTTGATATGGTATCTGAACAAAAAAAGGCAAAAAAGGCAAAAAAAAGCAAAAAAATTGACTACCAACAGATGCTTGCTATCACCACACATAAAGTGTTTTTTGCTACCTTGTTTAAAAAACCAAAACAAAACATGTTTTACTGAGCAGGAGGGGTGCCGTGTAGAAATTTTTTCTCTCAGTTGCAAATTCTTGCTGGCAATTTTTTAAAAGTATGAAGTGCACAGCTGTGTGTCTGAATGTGACATGTAAGTGTTTATGAGCACTGGAGTGCTGGATTAGCCATGTTTCAGCTTCATTGCTGGGTAAACAGTCACTTAAATTGGAGTTGGTGGTTCTGAGGAGCCTGGTCCTGCCCCAGAGGGCTTCCTTCGGAGTGTCTGTACCCAGCACAACCACTGATGGAGGGTGTGGGCACAACAGTCTGGAAGTGTGCATGTGGAAGGGGGACAGTGTCACCATCAGCATGCTCTGCTGTAATTTGGTGAGGCTGGCTTATCAAAGCCCTAGCAAACCTGTACTGGGGCCAGTTGCAGCTTGTCTCATGGACATGGTGACTAGCCTTTTCCTCCTGAAGCTGAGTTGGTTCTGCTTTCTCCTCCATTTAGAGGCAAACCTAAGGCTGTGTTCAAAAGCCCTGAAGATGTGTGAGAGTGTGTAAAAGCTGCAGCAGGTACCGGAGCAGGACAGATGGCAGCTTGCAAAAGTGCCCTGCTTTCTCAGAATACCATTTCCGCTCTCTTGTTAGGCTCATGGTGTATTCAGAGCTTGGTTGTGGTCTCAAGGAAGATGCTGCTCTAGCTAAATACATGCATGCAGCCAGCCCTGCTATGTGTGGGTCTGAGTCTACAAAGTGATTGTGGTGCCTCTTACATGCCATCTGACTACTAATCAGATTGAAAATCTGGGTGCTGAAAAACTTCACAGATCTTCACAAATCATCATGGAGGCCACTATGGTTCTTGGAAAATTCAGTTCTGGGTGGCAAGTCCCAGACATGTCTGCAGAGCTTCTGTTTCCTTTCATAGAATCATAGAATAGGTAGGGTTGGAAGAGACCTCCAAGATCATCAAGTCCAACCCCTGATCCAACTCCAATTACTATATCATGGCACTAAGGGCCACGTCCAATCTCTTTTTAAAAACCTCCAGGGATGGTGAATCCACCACCTCTCTGGGTAGGCCATTCCAATGCCTGATAACCCTCTCTGTAAAGAATTTCTTCCTAACATCTAACCTAAACCTCCCCTGGCAGAGCTTGAGCCCATGTCCCCTTGTCCTATTGTTGGTTGCCCGGGAGAAGAGACCAACCCCCTTTGGCACGGTCTGTCTCACTGACAGTGCCTAGGCTGGAGATAGGCTGGATCGGCTCATCAGTGTGAGCCCTGAGTGCCACACACTGACAGCACAAGGTGGCAGTGGATCCACCTGGACTGTTCCTCAGCAGTTCCTGTTAACCTGCCCTGGTGGACTGTGCTTGGTGTGCATGTCTCTGTAGGCACTTACCTCAAGAAATGGGAAAAAGCTTGTGTGAGGGCACACTATGGTGAAGAGTAACCTCAGCAAGTCCTGGTCATTAATGAGCAGCAGTCTACAGTGAAGTTTTGATACAAGGTTTCTGATAATAGAAGAGTGTGCATTTGGTATGGGACATTTTCTGCTTATTTACTCTTCGTGAATTCTTTGGTTGCTAATTTTGAAACTGTTGTGGAAAGCTAGTAACATCATCAGTGAGTCATATGAATGGTGATGGGCTCTTGAGAGATTAATATAGCTTGTCTTTTCGGTAAAAAATGAGAAACCTTCAAGGAAGTGTTCATTGCTTGCCATTTCTTCATCTCAGTCCCCTCTTCTTGGGGCTAAATTCGTTCATAAAAGCCTAAAATTTAAGATGGGATGGCTCAGTTTTTAAAAATGTATGCAAATGTTTCATCCAAGCTCTGGATTAGCTGGGCAGAGTGTCAACATTGCAGTATATGCCAAGGGGAAGATAATCAATGTTTCAAAAGGGGCCTTACATGGTTATTCATTGACTCTTACCCCAGCCCCCTCATGAAGACAGAAATGTGTAACATAAGTTCAGAAATGTTTTGCACTTTATAGTGGTAATTACATGCAGATGATATGAAAGACCAGTTATTTGGATATCTAAATCTCCTTCTCTTTCAGGCCCTGCAATTCCTGTTGGGGTGGATGTGCAAGTTGAAAGCTTGGACAGTATTTCTGAAGTTGACATGGTACGTAATCCTCTTCTAAGCCTCAATTACTTCCAGTCATAAAATGTTGTTCCCACCTGAAACCTGTGGGCTTCAAATTATTGGTCAGATCAAAGTAATGGCAGCATCTGTGAAATTCAAAGAGGCTCATATTCAGAAGCAAAGACTTGATAAAACCGGGTGATCAAAGGCTTATCTCTGTATCTCCAGATAAAGATTAAAAGCATGAAGGAAAAAACGACCTTGAATGGGAGAATAATCAGTGCTATGAAAGATCTATCACAATGAAAAATATAAACAGCTGTGTACGAAGGTTTGAAGGTATAAGGTGAAGTTCAGATAAGCTGTGCTTACTGCCGGAATTTTCTTCCTCAGGGAAACATTGAGTTCACATGAATGTTCGTGTACATTTGGGGGGAAGTGTTGTCTGTTTGTTTGGGGTTTTGTGTATTTTTTCGTTTAGTTTTGTGTTTTGTTTTGGGTTTTTTGTTGTTGTTGTTTTTGTTTTGTTCTGGTTTTTGCTGTAGGAAATGGAATAAAAACACTGGAAAGGAAAGTGCAAAGAGGAACATAAAGGAGAAGAGGAAGCTTCTTAGTTCCTTCCTCCTTCTGCCTTTTCCTCCCTATTCTTGGGTATCTTCTCTGGTCTAGACAAAACACAAAGGAAGAGCTTTAGCTTGAGTGGTTTTTACTGTGGTGCAATTACATCTTCATCCCATTTTGGAGGGGTTGGACTAGATGACTTTTAAAGGTCCCTTCCAACCCAAACTATTCTGTTTTCTAGGATTAAACAAGGGAGCTTGGCTGCCTGGATATTGAAAGAGAAGTTTTGGGGGTATGCATGCAATGAGGTGTGTAGGAGGGAGGTGTCAGCATAGGAAATGGCCGCCACAAGGAGAGTTGAGGCTCTGGTATATCAAGATAATGTCAGATTAGCAAAGAGACCTAATTAGTAAATAATTCACAATGATTTCTGTCAGGAGCATCTGATTTCAACAAAAATGTTGCCTGTCAGAAAGCTTTGAGGTCAGTTCTTTCCCTTGGCTGTTGATAGCTCTGTAGTCCTGTTCTCCCAGCACATGACAAGCACTTTCTACAGTGGTTTCTAATATGTATTTGGGGTAGAAGAATGGTCTCTCAGGTCAGTCTGAGTTACATTGGTTTGTTTTTCCAACAAACTGTCCTGGTATGGGTGTTTGCAGAGAGGAGAGTGGGCAGTAAGCTGTTAGCCAGGGGACCGGGGCTACCTGTGCCTGCAGCAGGGTGCCCTCCTTGGCTGCCAGTTGCAGGCAGGGCAAGGCTGCAGGCAGGGCTTATCTCAAACTGCTCTGAAGGGTTAGTGGCCCTGGAAATCAGGTACTGTCAGCTGGGCAGTCTTTACGTGCTCATTGCTTGAGCAGTCACCTGGTGCTCTAAAGAAGCACCAGACAGAAGGGTCAGGAGCCGCAACCCATCATATCTGCAAGACAGTGCATGTCAGTGAGAGCAGCCAGGAGATGTTTAAAGCACGAGGGTTTAAAACTGGTGCCAGTCTGGTCAGCATGGATGGGCTGCTGCTGTGTGCATTGACAGGGCATGCTCTTGGGGCTGCCTGGAGTATAGCACAAACATGAAATGTGCCATCAAAATTGAGGTACTTGTGTATGCTCATTTGCTGTGCCTCTGGCAGGTACTATCCTTCTCTCAGTTTCTTGTAAAAACTTGTTTCCTAAGGGATTTTCCTACTCATGAGTGCTGAAATAAACCCCCTTTTTTGCTTGTAAATAGCATGTGTGCTGGTCAGAAAGGAACAAGCTGTCAACAAACTGCCTCATTTGACTCATGCCATGAAAAACTTCCTTTATTTAGATTTTATACTTAGCTGTCACTTTGGCTTTGTGTTTGCAGCATTTGGTGTGCTATGTGTTGACCACTGGAGAGAGAGGAGAGTTGACCATTGTGTTGACCTGTTTGGAGAGAGAAAGGGAGTGAGCATGAGAGAGAAGAAGCTCCTGCCTGGTAGGACAGGGAAAGGGGTGACCTGGAATGTGGTGTGCCCCTTCTCATGTTGTCCCTACAGGCAGTCTCTTCCAACTCCTCTGTTGAGGCTGTAAGCCTTGCTGTGGTTGATGCCACATCGTTCCCTGTTCCCCTGTGCTCTGATGATGGAGCTGCCCAGAGGCATTTTGCAGCCGCAACCCCCAGCTGCCTGGCTGTCCTGGTTTTGGCTGGGATAGAGCTAATTTTCTTCTTAGTAGCTGGTACAGTGCTGTGTTTTGGATTTAATATGAGAATAATACTGATAACACAGTGTTTTGGTTGTGACTAAGTAGGACTTACCCTAAGTCAAGGTCTTTTCAGTGTCTCATGCTCTGCCAGTGAGGAGGAGCACAGAAAGACAGGAAGGGACATGGCCAGGACAGCCGACCTGAACTGGCCAAAGGGATATTCCATATCATAGAAGGTCATGCCCAGTATATAGATTGGCAGGAGTTGGCTGAGAGGGCTGATTGCTGCTGGGGGACAGGCTGGGAATTGGTCAGTAACTGTATTGTGCATCACTTGTGTTTTCTGAAGTTTTGTCCCTCTCTCTTTTTATGACCCTTTTCATTAATCTTACTATTATTATTTACTTTATATCAATTATTAAACTGTTCTTATCTCAACCCAACTTTTTCTGATTCTCTTCCCCATCCCATTGGCCGGGGACCGGGGGAAGGAGGAGTGAGCAAGTGTCCGTGTGGTACCTACATGCTTGCTGGGGTTAAACTACAACAATGGTCCTCCTCACCTGGAGCCCCATGTCCCTCCATCTCATGTCATGGCCAAGGGACTGGCCTGAATATCCAGGCTCTTTTTTACACCTTTTTTGACTTCTGCTGTAACTTGCACTGACTCCTAAGAAAGCAACAGTTGTGCCTCTTCCTTTATTTCTTTTTTCCCAGCTCTAGTCAAGCCGATGAGCTTGATGTCCCTCCCCTGAGGGTGACTCGTCCAGCCAGGTTGCAACCTAAGCCTGTCAGTAGCAGCAGTTGCTGGAAGTATTTCTTTGTGACTGTAGTTGTAAGGGGAAGATGACCAGTCTCCAGTAGGGAACAGAAGCTGGCAGCATCCCTGGGAGGAGCAGCAATGGAGCCTGGGACCAGTCTAGGATGGGGACCTGCAGGTGGATGAGCAGAAGTGTCCCCCTGGCAGGTCTCTGCCACGGTCAGAGAGGGAGGTGTCTGGCCAGCTCTGTCCCATACAGGGCAGCAAGACGAGGACTGGCACTAGAGCCTTCTTTGCCAAACTAATGAAAAACCTATTGGCAATGCAAGGCTATTACCAGACAGCCCTTTGAAGCGGAGAGTCAGGGGAGATTGTTACCATTTTTCACCAAACTGATTGTTTGGTTTTGTTTTTAGAAAGTGGTTGCTGCGTGGTTAGGAAGAGGTCCTGGCCTGTGTTGTTGCCTCTTCAGGCTTGGCAGCTCCCATAACCCCTCATTTAATTGTGAATATAAAGAAAAGAAGTGTATTTGATCTCAGAATGAGAGAGTAGATTCAGCTCTGAAAGCAACAGTTGCCAGGTTGGGATCAACAAACAGATGTTTTTCTTTATGTGACTGAAGCTCCTGCCCCCTCAACAAGCTTAAAAAGGGAACTTTATTTATACACTTTTATGGTAGTCACTTGGTTGCTGTTTGCAACAATTTAGTTCTTTTGGGGATAAATTACTTAATGTTTAGTCTCATCATTAAGCTAACTTTCACAATTTTTCCTCTAGATCATGCTATTGATACCATTGTCCTGCAAGATAATTTTGCCAGGATTGAAGAATTTTTTCTGTGGGGCATTGCTTCTCTTGGGACATATTTATATCCCTTTTGTGACTGAACATTACTGGATACTGTAAGACATTAATTGATTGTTTATGCTTTGTTTTGGCTGAAATTATTTTTTCAGGAAAATCTATTCACAGAGATCATTAGTCTAGGAAAGAATCAGGAGTTGAGAGTGGAGAGATTTTATCTACCTGGTAGGAGTGAGTTTTCTTTCTGGTGAGTTTTCTTTCTTTTTTTCTTCAGTTGTAGAGTGCAGCACTGACAGACCTCTCTCTGGTTCTCTTCATTTTTTGTGAAGGATTTCACTATGACCTTATACTTAAGGCACTACTGGAAGGATGAGCGTCTCTCCTTTCCCAGCACCAACAACAAGAGCATGACCTTTGATGGCAGGCTGGTGAAGAAGATCTGGGTCCCTGATGTCTTCTTTGTGCATTCCAAGAGGTCCTTCATTCATGATACCACCACAGATAACATCATGCTGCGAGTGTTCCCTGATGGTCATGTCCTCTACAGCATGAGGTAACAGTGCAGCCCTGCTGCTCCTGAGCATCCCCTGGGGCTTTGCTGTCAATTTTGCTCTTGGCTTGACTTTGGTGATCACTAGGACTGCTACTGCCAATCCTGCTACTCACACTGCAGATGCAGAGCCCTGTTTCCAGAAAGTGCAGTTCAAAATGCTTTGCAGGAAACTGAAAGAAACCATGCTTTGGGGAGTAACAGGATAATCTCCTCCCCAGGGGAAGCATGCCCTCAACTCTTTGCAGTCAGTGGAGGGCTTAGTCAAGCAGGAATGTTCATCCCAGGGTCAGTCTGTGATTAAACTGGAAGCTGCTGATATACCAGATGGTGACCTCTATAATTATCCTATTTTTCTTCCTGTTTGTCTAGAAATTTTTTTGTTGTTGTTGTGGTGGTGTTTTCGTGTTGATGTAAAGGTTTAAATTTATTGATGCTGAAATGGCAGTATTAAAGGCAGTCAGGTTTTCCAGTAGATTTGTTGGCTGGAAGAATCCTGAGGCACGTCTGTCATGACTTGGAGGGTTACCCATCCTGTGGGTGTACACAGATCGTGACAGTGGGTTTGCAGAATTCTGTAATACACAAGGACATGGAGGCTTAATCCTTTAAAATTCTCTACCTTATTACAGATTACCAAAAATACCACAAAAATCACCACTAGCAAGTAAACTACCACAAAATCACCACTACCTATGATTAATAAAGTGAATATTAATATACATATCAAGCTATTGCAAATTACTATCAGCAATCAGTAATTTAGTGTCCATAAATCATGTAGCAACAGCCAATAACAGAAATAACTAACTAGGTATATGCTTTCACGGGTTACTTATCATTAGTGGAGCAACTCTTCAACAGTATACCAGCAGGTACACTTAGGATAAACTGCTTGTATAAATGCATAATACTGATATCAAGTGATTCCATCATCATATGAACCAAATCATCCTATGAATGAAGGACAAACTGAGACAGCCTCCAAAGTGGGCCCAGAGGGGTCCAATGAGACAACAGACAGAGTGGCACTTCAGAGGTGCTCTGAGTCATAGGGTCTGGAGTCAGCCAGCCATCCCCAGTGAGAGTCCCAGAGCTGGTAGAAAGTTCATGCAGTGAATTCAACCTGTTAGGAATGGAAAAGTACGTGCAGCATGGAAAGTTCTCTGAGAATAAGGTTTCATTTTGGGTAAAAGTAATGTCCTCCTTATATCCAGAGATATAAGAGGGTGTAGGACACTATCACTTTGAGCAGCCAATAGGTGCTGGTAATTTCTATTTTTCACCTGTGATGACTAATAGATAAGGATGTTTTCTGTTCTTTCAGACAAATTTTTATTTTCCAGATAATAAATTGCCTTTTAAATCCCTTTCTTTTTGCAGTTGTTGATGATATTCCAGGATGTCTCCAGTTTCTAGGTACCCCATCTGCATTTCAAAGAGGCCAGCTGTGCTTCTCAAGGATGTGTCTGGCTGCCAGGCTGGCAGGCCTTTCTCTGTCAATATTTTTCAGAAGGCAGTTTTTCTGCTCAGTAGAAAAACTACTAACCTTCTAACCAGGCCACCTTTACGGCTGCTCACATCAGCATCCCAGCAGATTTCATTTGCTTCAGAAGAAGGCAAAAAGAAAAGTGGAGAAAAATACACTTTCAGAGGAGAAAAGCTAAAGAGCCCAAACAAAAGGATATTTCCCCAGGGCAGAAAACGTGCTCTCAGTGTACAGAGACCTTGGAATGTTTTGTCACCAAGGATTTCTGTTCTAGGATCTTTCTGGAACTTACTCACTTCAGATATGGCAAAATGATTCTCAAAAACTAGAAAAGGTTTTCTATAAAGTTTGATTCAGGAAGCTCTTTCTCTTTGAAGAATAAGCATAGTGGGCAATATGGTCCCAAGCAGGACAATATTGTCCCAAGTAAGACAATATCCCACAGAACTAGGGGGTTCTAAAGTTCACTCTAAAGCAAAGTTTCATAGTCCAAATACAATTCTACTGAATTTATTTTAAAAGCCCTGGACAAATTTGTAAAATCACAAAGAAGTATGTGCGTGTGTGTGAGAAAGAGATGCATCATATGGCTACTTCATTTTGCCTGATTTAATGATGAAAGTCCCAACTTGATCAAACACTTAAGAACACTTTCCCTGTTATGAACCCATTTAAATCCATTTATTGCATGGGAGGTCTGATTACCCACACCTAAACTAAGCACCTAAAGACACTGTGTATTTTATTGGAACCGGATGAGGATGAAGGTACCATATAGCCGGAGAGACAAGAAGCAGAAAGAAAAATAAAGAATGATGTTAGATGGAAGCTTGGGTCAGTTCTGAGGGAAGAAGAGCAGGAGGAGGGTAGGGACCTTCCTGACAGCTGTTGCTCTGTGTAACTGAGTGTCCGTTTCCATTGCTCACACCCCACAGTTCTTATGCTCTAAAGCCAGGAGCAAACCACTTATTAGTAGTGCTCAACAACCAAAATGAAGGAACAAGTATTTTTAATGGCAAACATTGATTCTGTTCAGGTCTGCTCATTTGCACACATGCAGAGTATTTACTTTGAAAATTTTATGTTATCTGTCAAGGAGGTGATGTGAATTTTTAAAGTTATCCATAAGAGAGAAGACTGTGAGTTAACCACAGCTGACTGCACAAGAGTTAAATGGATAATTTGATACATAAAATGAAGAAGAATGAGAATCTTCATGGCATTTGGGCCTGGTGGTGTTTAGGACACTCAGAACAAGATCTGGCTAACAAAACATGGGTGTCCGGTCGTGCTGGAAATGCCCTCAGATGTCTTGAGATGTCTGCAAGGGTTTGATACTGGGCTGAGAGACATTTCATTCCTCATTTCGGCCTTGGGCTTTCATGGGCACCTGAACGCTGCACTCTAATTGAGGAATATGTTACTGATGAGCTGATTTTCTGTGCTGTCACTGGCTAATGAATTGTTATTGACCACAGGTTGTGCCATAGTTCAGGTGATGCTGAGGAAAAAAAATTAAAGAAAGAAAGAAAATAATGAGACTGAGTTATACAAGCTTAAATGCTACACGCAATTAGGGGAGGTTATTGCCTCAATACACCTTCTGGAACATATCCCCAAAAACATTCTTTAAATTTTGCACATAAGGCAAAATTTTGCCCTAGTTTTATGGTCAAAATGAACAATGTGAGCTTTTCAGGGGTAATGAGTGTGTAGATCAGGGTAGGATTTGCATCTCAATCCCTGCAACAGAAGAAAAGTTCTTTATCAACATCTGCAATAAATCTAGGAAATGGTCACCGCTAACGTAAGTTGGCTTCTGAAACGATGAGTCACAGCTGATTTGAGCCTACTAAATTGAGAGCTCCACTGCAAATCCGTCTGCAAGAGAAAGTTCACTGACCCACTGGAAAACTTCTTATGTAACAATGTGCACAACTGGACTAATTTAAAAACTGGAGCTGTGATTGCTGCAGCCCTTCAGCTTAGACTTAAACTTAACAGAGGCAAATCTCACTTCTTGAAAATAAGCTGCATCCATTTTACATCCCTTGCCCCAGAAATATACCCCTCAGATTTAAATAATTTGATTGAGAACAGAAAGAAACTGCTTTTTCTTTAATAATATACGTATTGGAGCAATTCTGTGGCTTGCAATAAGGATGGTCATGTTCCTTGGACTTGAATCATTCTTGAGGTGACTATGGAGGGAACTGAGCAACGGGGAAAATGAGGAAACCTTAATTGAGCTGTACATAAGAGAAATTTCAAATGTAAATGGTGAAGTTATTTTATGTTGTTGCTTTGTAGGGAAATACTTGGCTATAAAATACAGTGGACTGACTGTACTGATATTAGTATAACTGTAATGTTCAAGATAGTGCTTTAGTTCCTTGGTAGATATTGAAATTACATCTTCCTTTGGAGTTTCTGTGTATAATCCATCTCGTTTGAACTTGGATAATTGGTAATTTTCCTGGGGATTTTATGCTAACATCATGCATAATTTCTGGCTTTAAAGCTGCAGAATAATTATGTGCAATAACATTCTGCTTGATCGCTCCTCATAGAAACCAACTTTTCTTCTCATTTTCGACTTCTAGGGTCACAGTGACAGCAATGTGCAACATGGACTTCAGCTGTTTCCCCCTGGACTCTCAGACATGTTCTCTGGAGCTGGAAAGCTGTATGTTGTATCTGTGTTTCTCGCTAGACGTGCTTCATGGCTGGCTGCACAAACATTGCACTGGACACATTTCAGAATGCTTTTTATTTCAGAGCCTGAAAAAAAAGATAGTTCTAAGTTACTAAGAGACTTTCTATTGACTCAACAGTGTTGTATGTCTAGTTCTTATGCTGCTAGACAGGGGAATTTGCAAGGAAAACATCCTATGACATAATCCTGATCCTGCAAACACTGTGACCTGGGCTAAGCTTCTTCAGGAAGGATTGGTTCTGGGGAGAACGTAATGTGAACAGTAAAGTTTTCATGGCTGTTCTGTAAACTTTCTCCAGTGTAGACTAACATGTAGTTGTTTTGAGGTCCTCCCAGCTATTTGAATGAAACATTCCTCTACAAACAGCAGAATCACAGGGTAATTGACATTGGTGTTGAGGTCAGCTGCTCCTTGAGTTCAGCTGTGCCCTGTTGAGAGCAGGGAGATCTTTATAGTGGGTTGCTCAGGGCTGTGTCCAATTCAGTTTTGAACAAGGTAAAGCAGGCTCCACAACTTTTCTGTGCAACTTGTTGAAATATTTGACAGCCCTCATCCTGAAAAAGTTTACCTGCTTGGAAACAACCCTTTGCTGTGACTTGCATCCCTTGCCTCTTGTCCTTTCATTCTCTATCTTGATGAAGAGTCTGAGAAAAGCCTGCTATCATCTTCTCTATGACCCTCAGCAGGGCAGCAGCTGGACCCCACCACAGACTGCTCTTCTTCCAGCTGAACGAACCCCGTTCCCCCAGCCACTTAAGCTGTGTGCTCCAGCCCCTGACCATCTTGATAACCCTTTTCTCATTCCCCATTCCTGATACCTAGTGTGATTACAAATTCTGTTTCTCATATATAGTTTTAAAATATTTCTAGACTTTTGCTTCAGGTCATACATATCCTTTTTGCTTTTATCATTCTAAGACAGTTTGAGTGTTTGTGTTTGAGGTGTCTATGTTTCCTCCTTCCTCTGAATTCAGGTGTGTTACCCATGATTATTTCCTGATCTATTCTTATCAGTCAGCAATACCTTATCAATTAATTTTGATCTGTGATGTTCAGAAGAGTGCCATTCTAGCTGTCATTCCATCAGTGTAGAGTAAAAAGAGGATGTGTTTCCTTGAATCAGGATGACCTGAATTTTTATTTTTGTCATGATATATTATATCGTGTGATCTTTTTAACTCAGTGCTGTTAGCAAACTTATTTGTGGCATTACTTCATGCCAAAGACTGCATCTGTTAGCTTTTGTCAAACCTCCAAGCTAAAGTCACTTCACATCATGTTTCTTCTTTCCCTAAGATGCTTACACTGATGAAGATCTGATGCTGTACTGGAAAAATGGGAATGAATCTCTGAAAACTGATGAAAAGATTTCTTTGTCTCAGTTTTTGATACAAAAATTCCACACTACATCAAGACTGGCTTTCTACAGTAGCACGGGTATTGATCTTTTCTGATTTAATATTACTGCTAAAACTAATGCTGTATTAACTGCCTGCGAGAGGGCTCTTGGGATTATGTTGCTGAAATGTAGTCTCCACAGTCTGGACAATACGTGTTTTGTAAGCTCAGGTTTTTTTTCACTACTCTTTAGAATTAAAATAGCAAAAGAAAGATCTTACCTCTCTGTGCCTACTGTCAAGGCTCTTTTCACTGACTCTGGGTTTCCTCCTCTCTCAAAGGTTGGTACAATCGACTCTACATTAACTTCACTTTACGTCGACACATCTTCTTCTTCTTGCTCCAAACTTACTTCCCTGCCACCCTCATGGTCATGTTGTCCTGGGTGTCCTTCTGGATTGATCACCGAGCAGTTCCTGCCAGAGTCTCTTTGGGTGAGAACAATTGCAAAAAGCCATGACTGTAACACAGAATGGTACAGCTGGGAAACAGGGGTCTCTGTCACCACTGGTCTTAGCAGACCTGACCTTATGGTTAAGTGTGTTAAAAACGTGTTTTAAGAGCACTGTGTCATAAACCCAGGAGGATAAGGAGAGAGTTGTTCCTAGAGAAATCATTGCTCCTCAAAACTCAACCCATCATGAGCACAGAAGTGTAAGCAGTGGAACAGTTCTGCATTGGCAAAAGAGATACGTAACACATGTTTATTTGATATTGAATATATTTTAGACCATCATGTAAACCATAATTTCTGGGTTTTTTTCTAGAGACAAAAAGATTTATATACTGTATCAGTCAATAACATTTATTTCTCTTGGTTCTGTCCAGGGATAACCACTGTGCTGACCATGTCCACGATCATCACTGGGGTGAATGCTTCCATGCCTCGTGTTTCCTACATCAAAGCCGTGGACATTTACCTGTGGGTCAGTTTTGTGTTTGTCTTCCTCTCGGTGTTGGAATATGCAGCTGTGAATTACCTGACAACGGTGCAAGAGAGGAAGGAGAGGAAACTCCAGAAAAGGGTGAGAAAAACTTCATCTGTTTATTCCTTTATTCCCCTTGTGGCTGATCTGGTCTTTATATTGACTGATTTGTGTCTGTAAATGGGAAAACACCGACAACCATTTGTGTAATTGGGTCTGTTTAGAGTGCTCCACCTCAGGCTGAATTGCTAACCCCAGAAAAACAGGGTCTTCACAGAAACATCAGAGAAGAGGAGAATGTGACCTGAACTGGGGAAGACTGCAACCTGGAGTGGTGTTATAGGCAAGAGGGGAAAGTATAATATCTGATACTCCACTGCAGCTTCCACAATTCCTGTATTTTTAAGCTAAGGCTTTTGTTTGCAGCAAATTCATTTCTTCCCTCTATAGACAGCTTTGCTCTGGAAATTGGATTCAATGGATCTAATAGTAGAAGTGTTCTCCATTACCAAGCACAAACAACAGTCAGCTAAGTTTATGCTTGTACTTCTTAATGTGCTGTGAAAAGTCTCATCCTGCATACCTGGAGTTTTCCAAGACCTGACCAGATACAGTCCTGAGCAGCCTGGCCATGCTGTGAGCAGGACATAAGATTAGAGACACCCTGAAATTCTTTCCAACCTGAATGATCTCATAGACCTGTAAGCCCTTTTTCTTAGTAGTTAAGCAAAACACATCAGCTTTTCAATACTAAGGCTTGGGACCACATTTTTTTCAGTCCACATACACTCAGGACATCACCATGTTTTGCAGCTTCTTTCTTCCCAGGAGGGACTCTCCACACTATTTCACAGGTGCCATTGGTCATCTGCTGCCTTTGATTTCTGGATAAATTTGTATCAGCCTTTTGGAAATGCCAAGTCTGATATCATCTTTCATATGATTTGAGCATGACATTTCCCTCTCTGAACTACTCTGTAGGTTTTGCATGTCCTTCTCTTCCCCTTTCTCTTCTTCCTGTGACTTCCTTGAGTCACCTAACAGCCTAACAGACCACCTAACAGCCCAGCACCTTTCCTAGCTGACATCTCATAAAAGGTGTAATTAGATATATTTAAAAAAGCAATAGGAATAAACTTAACAGACTTCTGTGACTGAATTTTTGCCTCTCTCTAAAGCCTTCTCAACAACAGTATGATTCTGGAATGCTACTTGAACAGGTCCTGAGTAACTTAATCTCTCTATCCCCCATCCTAGTCCCCACCTGGGGCCCAGCACTTCTCTGCAACATAAGATAGAGATGCTCTGTGCAAGCACAGTAAGTCAAGTGTGTCTGACTTGCTGCACATGAGGCATTTTAGCCAGCTCTGCTCAGACATCCCATGTCCAAAGAAGACATCATCTTACACTTCATGTGAAGAAACAAAAAACATCCTTGCTAGGTTTGACTTGCCTAGAATAAACTTGTAGTTTTAAAGATGAAAACCCTTCTCCTTTGTCTTTCTCTGTACTAGAGGGATAAAATGAACTTGAGACGGTTTACTACTGTCTGCTAAATTTTCAGGAATGTTTTCCCACATCCAGCTTGTTATTTATGCCATAAATCAGCCCTTTGTTGAGTCTTGTATGTTGAATTCCATGTTCAGCAAATGCCTTTTTACTACACTAGGGAGAATATTCTATGCAGTCTTCAGCATGTGACAATATTAATTCTCAGTGGTGGGAACAGGAACAGAGATAATGAACAGCATTATTTGAGGAGATTGTGGCAAAATGTAGGTGACTGCTCTTGAAGAAGCAGAAGTGACATTTCTCACTGTAAATTTAAATATTGTCAGCCAATGCTGCTCCTCTATGAAAGACCAAAAAATCCTAATACGAATATGTTAGGCTGCCCAGAGAAGAGCTTTGTTATGTCTGCATTAAGAAATTAAGTATACCTGGGACAAAGGCATGAAGTATCTAAAACTTGATGTGAAATGGCTGCGGCACTTGATCCATTGCCCCATGCTTATTCCCAAGCCATAGGTGGGAACTTTTCAATGCTTTTTGGTCTGGATAAAATTTAGTCTAGAGACATTTCTGATTCTCTAATAGTGTTGTCAGCTGAGTTCCCATGCCCAAGGAGGCTCTTTGTCAATCTTTGAATTGTTATTGTAGGCATAGTCTACATAGGGTGAAATTAGGTAGCATACCTCTGCATCTACGTGCCTATTTGAGGATAAGTGTAATTTTGCGTTCTGTGAAGATGGGTTTCTAGCACGTTAGGGTCTCTTGTCCACAGAGGTGGCTGTCATCAAAAGTACATGAAGCCATGGGACGTTTAATTTGATCTGGGGGCTGAGAGCAAATCTGCAGAATTTCTTTCTCTGCTGAGTTCTGCACCAATTAGCTTACTGTCATTAACTGCTTTCCCTTACACACACCGTCTCCTGGACCTGTCATCAGTTGTTGTTTCATTGTGATTTTGGTTTTTTTTTTCCTGAAGTGTACCTGCTTAGAATAAAATATTTCTTAAAACCCAACTAATGTTCAGTTGTACCCATGGAGTGTTCAAAAAAAGTAAAGTAAGTGGGGTACTAACTTGTCATATTTTTCTGAACATAATCTTCTGATATCAAATCTTTCAGTTATGACAAGAACAGAGGAAGCAATCCTTAAGTAGATTTTAAGGTTTCAGTAAGCAATGTGATCTGTTGGTTAAATAATTTGAAAAAAAAACATTGGTTGCAGAGTTTTTCAGTAGCATCCTGAATATTCCATACTGATAAATATATACATATTTATATATTCTGATATATAAATTTCTACATATATTTAATTATTTTAGCTGAACATATCCTTGAAAACAAGTCTTTGGAAACATCATAGATCAAAGTTCGTGGAGGTGGGAATTGGGTGCAAAGTATTATTGGGTAAGGAAATTGGTCTATGGGGAATCAGAGGCAAGATCTCCTAGCAGAAAGGTTTGGGAGTCCATTTTCATTGTATACAAATACATCATCTATATTACTGGAACAGGAAAACTTCAGATTATAAATAGTAGAATGTGGCATTTGCCATTCAAAATTCTACCTGCAGTCTAAAAAACTTGTGGGATGTACACTGTTAAAGTCAACGCAAGTTTTGACATTAACTTCAATAGAGTGGGGATTTTACATTAGGCTTTTAGCAAGTCATCTCCTTGGTTTAAAATCAGATTTACAAAGAAAACGTGTATCTGTGAAACCAGAACTTGGGCCTTTTTTTTCCATAACATGTACTGGACAAGCCATTTCTACAGATAAAACTGCATCTTGTCCTTGAATATTTATAAACATCAAGACTGAAAAACAGGGAATCTCAAGACAGGAAGGCTGAACAAGAACTAGCTAAGAAAACTTTTTGCTTAGATTAAATGTCTGCTAAGCATTTTTTTTTAATCTTTTCTGAAGCTGCTTGTCCAAGCAGTGGAGCTAAACCCCATTTTTTACTTTTGGAACACAAGCAAAAATCCAAAGTGACTTTTTTGTTCAAAGAGAAACAACATCTCAACTAAATTTTCAAGCTCAACTGTTTACAAGCTGTCTATCAGTAGAAAGCCATAATTTCTGTTGCTCATGTGTTCTTCCAGTGTTCAGCTGTATTTCTTGTTTATGCTTCTAGTTTTCATGTTCGTGTGGAATACCTCACTCGAAAACTATGATGCTGGATGGAAACTACAGTGAATCTGATGCCAACAGCCTGGCAGGATATACAAGAAACCAGATGGTACCAGAAGAAGAAAAACAAGAAAAGATAGTTGTGCATTTGGCTATGAGCAATGAATCTAATTCATCAAGGAAGAGAGGCCTGAAGGGTCATGTGGGCTTGCGCATCATCCAGAACACTCATGCAATTGATAAATACTCAAGATTAATATTCCCAGGCACCTATATATTTTTTAATTTGATATATTGGTCTGTCTTTAGCTAAGCATGCTGGCACAGCAGTGACTGAATCAGAACACATTTATGAAACTCTCTTTTGTTGGTACTTTTTCAGTCTAATCTGGATGCAAAGCCAGAAAACTGATTCTTTTATTGCTTCTTTGAAGGGCAAAGGGGAGGACTCCAGCAGGCAACTCCGTGCACAGGCATCACGGAGGAACCTGCTGTGCTGGTTGATTTCCAACCCACACCCCAGCTCCTGTTTGCTTTAAGACACATGCCATTTCTCATACTTGAAAATATGCACTCACCTTACACCCAAAAGGTGCTGGCCATGCTGGTGGTGCCTGCTGTACAATGGACAACTAGAAACAGTGCTCATGTGAGCTGTAAGGAATTAGATAAATGCAACTTGCAATGGAAGGTCTGGACAGTGCATCTCCTGTAAGGGGACTGAATGAACCTTTCCTTTAAAAATCTCTGCTTTTGAGAAAATTATTTTATTTTTCTTTGGCATATTAGCATTGTAGTTTTTTCAATTGTTTTATGAAGAACGCCTCCTTTCAGGGTCCAAATTCTGCTTTCTCTGGATAGGATCTTCATCAACACTATTAGGGCAGCTGACTGTCCAAGGTCAGCTGGACTGGTTACAGAGTACAGGTGGTATGTTTGTGTCAGTGGTAAGATTATAAGTAAGGAGCGATGATGAAGGAGAGCTAAGAAGCCCACAGACTCACAGAAGATGGCTCCCAGGGTACCTGGGTAATGAAAGCGGGGAGGTTTAGGCACACGTTCTCTATGTCAATGGAACACAGCACATGATATATAGCACCTACTCTCTAAAACGAGAAGGGGAACTGATCTGTAGCATTCACACACACGGTGTGCCCCTAGGACTGGGACCTTCACATTCCCTCCCAAGAAACAGAAAATAGTGTTGAGGGCAGAACACATGGTTTTCAAAGGTTTTCCTGTGAGGAAAGTGCAGCCCACAGACAAACTGTACATCCCCATGTGCCTCTCCCAGTCAACACAATGTCCTCCCAGGCATTTGGGATCAAAAGGGAGATGTGTCTGCCAAAATCTCTCTCTGCAGAAACAGAGGTATGGCAGAGATTAAATGGCCAAGAATAATATTGTGGGGTCCAAGGTCAATGTAAGGCCTTTGAAGCTGCTGCAAAGCATTGTAACAAGCTTATGTACTTGGCAGTTCTTTTCTCATCCTGTGATATCTCCCCTTCCTTTGCTAACAATACTGACTGCAAAGCCCAAATGTAGAAATATTATAGCAACAAGACAACAATGCTCAGGTTTGCGTGCTCCTTATTTTTAGAAAACAGAATGACTTTTCGGCTGTGTTGGAGATTATCTACATCAAAATATTTGTTTACCAAGCTGAAACGGAGCAGTAGGGGCAGAATTTGAAACGTGAAGAGCCAGGACTGAGGTTAGAGTAAAGAGAAAGCAAACAAAAATATCAATGCAGCCATAACTATTTCTCAGCATGTGAAATTTTTTGCTTACCCTAACAGTTATTCTTATGTCCTAAATCTCAAGGGATGTAAAAAGTGGTAGAGAATTGTCAACAACAGTGTTGGCTGTCAACAAAACCCAGGTTTTCCCTCAAATATTACTGCCTAAGTCAAGCCAATGGTGACACTGATTTACTGAAAATGAAATTAATGAAACTAAAATTAACAACCATGTTCCCTTTTTGTCAGCCCTGTTAATAACTGACATAAATGGGGTTCTGTCTGGTCATGAAAGTGAGAAAATACATCCCTGAAATTGCTGACAAGAAGAGGAGCCATGGAAGGACATGGAAGTGTCTGAGAGGATGGATTGTGCTGTACCCCAGCCTGCCACTTGTCTCCTGATACAGCAGGTCAGTGCATTTACCACCCATCACTTCTGAAGCTGAAACCTCGATACTTCTCACATTGACAAGTGGAGATTACTACAAGAAAGATGTAAAAAATATTAAAGAAATAGACCACTCCTTTTTTGAGAGGTTAAAGTTTGGACATAACAGTGCATTCTTCAGCATTAGCAGTTTTGAGTGCAAAACAGGAACCAGTGCCCCAGCTGGCAGCAGGACAGCACAGCAAAGGGACCTTTGCTGGGAAAAGGCAGCAGAACTGCACCATGAAGTCACCAGAGAGCACAGGGAGTGAGAAACTTGGTTCCTGTGCCCTCCTGTTTTGCCAGTCTTCCTGCATTGCCCATGGCATGTGCCATTTAACCTCTCAGTGCCTTGTCTCCTCCATCTAGAAAGTGAGGAGCAGTAAGATTTACCTACCTCATAAGCTGCCAAGGGGCTTAACTTGCTCAGCCAGCACGTGTGGGGCATGGTTATGATTTCTGAGCAGGTCACCCAGTGGGAATCTGATTTTGTCTTAGTTACCAGCAAGTTGTTCAAATGCATCCTCTGAATCAGTTCAGGTGGAAGAAAGCAGGTTTCTCCCCTGCCTTATAATGCTATTAAAACTCCCCTGCATTATAATGATATTAAACCAGGGATAAATGTAGCCAAACAGCCAAAAAGTGAGTGCTGTCAATGAATAATGCCTCCTTGCATACAAAAAACAGGAGTCCTAGTGCTTTACTTTGCCATTTATTTTTATTACACCTCCTGTTCCCTTAGAAGTTATGACAAAGATGTCCTTTAGATCTATCATCCTTGTTTTAGCATTGCCTGTAGTTTAAATGTCTAATAAGCATCTTTTGGAGAGAATACCTTACTGTTATTTTATTTGCATGTGTACATAACTGATAGAGATTGATGTCTGTTTCTGCCAGACACAATTATACAGCCTATAAAACCATCAAGTGGGTGTTTTTCCATTAAAGCAAAAAAAAATCCATACTCAAACTTAGGCACCATTTACACTTATTATTCATTAAAACAACAGATGAAAAACGTAGATACAAATAAAGCTGAGACTTCTTCAGGCAGCATTAGGAATTGTATTTTTCTGCTTATGAAGAGGAGAGTGGCTAGACATGGAGGTAGAACGAATATTTGAAGCGTAGATTGACAATATATTTCACCCTTGATTTCCCCTGGATTACAAGAGATTCCACGAGCATTGTCTAACTTCCAGTTGCAAGATCCAACCAATGTTTTGAGAAATAGTGCCTGAAGCTAGGCTCTGAGTACTGTTTGATGGATACAACCCAATTCTGTGAAGCACTAAGCATCTGGACAATGAACCTACTGAAGGACAGGATTTTCAGAAATGCACAGGAGATCTAAGCAGAGGAGATTGGGGTCATTGATGAATATGCCTTCTCCAGACAACCCTGTCCAACTCTGAAGAGAGAAAATTTCAGCTCTGCTTATTTGTACATCTGGCTCCACTGTCATTTTACTTACTTTTAACCAAATCATGTCTCTGAAAAAAAAGTAACTATATAGATATGTACACGTATGTATAATGTATATGCAGGTGTAATGTATAACATAGGATGACACTGGGATGTGTACCTATGTTAAATAGTGTACATATGTGAAATTGTAATATATTGTATGTAAATTACCATTTATTATGCCTAGAAAACTTACTATGTTGAATGGAAAAAAGGCTCTTATTGTCAGCCAAGGCCCAAGAAATGAGGTATTAGCAAAAAATAGGAGTTTGCTCACATTTTCCTTCTGAAAGAGGAGGTGTTGAGAAGGAGGCAAGAAATGCTGATGCTAAACTTGTACAATGGGTGCAATCCACTGTGCTGATTGCTGTAATCAAACCTGGTAATAAAATAACAGATGGAAAGGGTGGAAAAGAGTCCATTTCATGGTGTGACCTTTAAATTTGATTTTAATTCTGTTTGGAGATTTGAATAAACACCTCACTTTTAATTGATTTTAGGTAAAAAGCATCTCAAAAGGTGGAAGAAATGTAGTGTAAACATGTAAAGATTTTGAAGCATGCAAAGCTCCTCAGGAAAAAGGAGCTGTTAATTACAGATATAAGCTATGGAGACTTTTTGTGAAAACTGCAGCCCACAACTGAAGAAATTGTAATAATTTCTTTACAATTAGTGGCACATTCTCAAAAGCCCAAATGACAGGTATGTATCTCAGTCTCCATTTGACTACAAATAAGAACTTGTCATTTAATTCTTCCTCTGTGCCTTTGAAACTGTTGTCTCCACACATCCCGATGGAAGATAAAACTGCTCTGAGATTCCGTCTGCCCAATCTCATCTATTATCCCTAATACAGACAATGGAACTAAAGTAAATGTGCACGGGTGAGGCTTAATAATGGCTGTCATCTGTCAAATTTTCACAATGGAGAGATTACAGCAAGGTACAGTCTAAATTAGTGAGATACTGCCCTGCTGAAATTTAAAGATCAGGAAAATGTATTTTAAAAACAGCAAGAATTTAGCACTATTAAAATTAAAATGTAATCCAGTCTCACACTAAGCTGATTAATGCCTTTGCAAAAATGACATTTGAAATAATATATCAGGGTCATTACTTTCCTGGTCAGAGGAATTATCATTTCAGATGAAGTGAGAAGGGTGGGGAGGGAAATCATGCACGAACAAGGGTAAGGTGTTGCTCTTGATATCCAGTTCTTGCAGCAGGACAGAGGCAACTGCCAGGCTGAGCAGAGCCTGCTGTAGAGGCAAGAGTCAGAGGATCCAAATTTCCCAAGGCATTCAGTGCCTGGGAATCATGTCACCATGTGGCAATTCTTGATTTGGGCATGAAAACGATATCTTCTGCCAGAAGTGATGGGATCCCCACCAGCTGTAGGGTAATCATGAGAGATGGTGCAGTGCAGGTGACATAGCCATTTTGGCTAGAGATTTGGGTTCAGTTCTGGCCATGTGTGTCATTAGCTGGTCCTTAGCCAGGGTTTAATGCGGTGGCCACATCCTGTGGCAGCCATGGGCAGAGTCCCCTGCACACCAACACAAAGAGACTTGCACAGCTCCCAGATGTAGCCCCAACTCTCGGCTCATCCAGCCAGCACCATAGAGATGGGGAGTACATCATCGGCATGCCATGAAATGTGTCCCCCAGCCCTCCCTTTACAAGGTACTCAGGAACCAGGACAGCCCTGCACTGCCCGCTCTTCGGAGCAAGCAGCAAAACCCTTACCAGATAATTTGGTGCCTGATTTTTAAGATTTCCTCCCTTTGAGAAAATACTGAGGACGCCTCTGGGGCAGTTGTCCAAATTGGACTTCTTCCACAAGTCTCTTAGAGAGTTTCTGAGTGCAGATATATGACTTGCAACCATAGAAATTAGCTTAGGAAAAGTGCCTGGCAACTCAACCTGTGCAAAATGCATATAAATGATGTGGGGGGGAAAAAAAGGAAAGATTTTAATGCTCTACTTGTCACACAGATTTATAAAAGAAAATTGTGTGTTTAGCTTAGAGGGAATTCAGAGAGGGAAATGAAAGGACAAGTTAATTGTAACGACAGTTTGAATTACTTGAACAAATATATTTTGGGAAATGGGACAGAACACTGGAGCTGTAAAACTCTCTAGCCTCCTGGCTGTTTCCATTTTATCTGGATTTTTATTGGGATCCAAATTAATTTCAACCGTGAAATTTTAAACGTTTCTTATTAAGGTGCCTAATGACCACATTTTTATAGGTTCAGTCATGAGGAGACCTTCAGTGCTGTGCACAGATTGTAACTGCAGCAGCCTCCAAGTAAAATTACTGCTCTTTTTGCATCTAGAGTTTCAGGAGAGCTACCATTCTATAAAACAAGAAAGGCAGAGTTGTTCAGCTGCTAGGCAGGGAGACAAGACACTCTCTGAGGAGCTGCACAAGAGAAAG